GATTACTCGATTAAAGGTCGAAACATCGGCAAAAAAATAAAAAGTGTTTTTCTGAACGACCTCATTTTTGACCGCTCCTCACAACTTCAACAACCAATGATGTAAATTGCAAGACTAATTTTTTTTCTAGATGACATATCATTTATACCGCTGACCTATATATATATACCCTAATACCGTCATCACCATCCACGCGGACGATATCGCAATTTTTTCCTCTACCTCGAATCCTATCCAAACAACCCCCGACATCCAAAAACACAAGACAGGTTATAAAAGACTGGTGCAAAAAGTGGAGGACAAGACTGAATGTAATATATTCAGTGTACGTTCACATTGATAAAAGTCTTCCCCTCCATCGTGCATCAACAACTCAATCTTTCACACTGAGGACTGAGCGTCGACTCGTTTTTCATAGCATATGTCCTTTTGGAGCAGCGATGGCTGTTAGTGTTGTGACCGAGTGAAAAAACGTTTTTTAATCACATTTGTAATATGTACAAACATGTGTGGATACAATATGTACAAATAAAATAACAATTATTTCTCTTAGATGACGACGGATTGTAGACTGAAAATTGTGGCTTAGCTTTCTAATGTTTAACCATCATCGTCATGATAGAACATTGCTTCCCGATTTACTCATCGTCAACAAGACAAGAGGATCTTTAACGTCCGCATCTGGCTCATGGCCTTATCGGACGCTTTGATTCTCAAGATGAGAGCTGACGCACTTCTGCATACGACGGAAAAGTGTTACCGCCGCAGCATTGGTGTAGTGGTGTCCCGGCCCCTAAGGGTCAGTAGCCACGCTCTCCGCTTGTCCACTCCGAATGGTCGGGCCTGCATTGTGCGTCAGGTCGTACGCCGCACGCGAGGGGCTAACGGGCCGAAATACATCAGCCCGTCCCCCCCCCCCTCGCGTACTCCCTAGATAGAGAAGGCGACTCTATCTCTCTGAGTGTAGAGGCTCCTCCAGCGTAGAAACTTTCGGGAACGCCCCGACAGCGGTTTCGGATTAAAAAGTGGGATTGCTACCCACCCCCTAGATGAGTACTGCCTACGGACAAAGGTCTCTTATCAAGCTACCTGCTGCACGTAATCGAGGGACGCCATAGGTCTAGCCTAGGTGGTCCGATCCTTCGCTTCCCCAAGGGTACCACGCCGGTCATACGCACAACAATGCAAAGCATCCTCGTGTGAAGCCGCCGATACCACTACCCTTTTCCAGTCGCTTACTCACGCATTCGAGGGACTGTAGCATGATCACGTCATGATAGAACAACAGAGGGATCGTTTTTAAGCATTGTTTTTCCAGGTTTACATTTTACATTGTAAAGATGGACGAATAACCTGTTCAAGTATACTTGCTGAAAAAGGGGTTTAGATTCACAGACAAAAAATGATTAGCGAATGTAAACAATGAGAGCAACATTCAACGATTATTTGACTAAAACTTTATTAATGTTTTTATGCTCAAGGAAATATTAAAGCACTTCACCTAACATACGTAATAGCTGAGGAATTAAAAATTACCAGAGTAATATCAGGTAAAATTTATACATTTTCCAAGAACGTAGACCATCTAAGGCAGTGATTATTGCATGATATATAAGTTTACATGGCAACCGAATACATTGTAAATCATTTATGGTTATTCTGCTAAAGGCAAACATAACATTGAAGCCTGGGCATGCTTGGCAATGATAAACATTGATCAACATCATGATCCACCCAACCCCGCGCACATTTTGGTCGTTCATGTCATCAATGGATATTTATCTTTGTGAATAAACGACCAAACAATTTCAACAAATATAGTGAGAAGTACAGCAGGTGTTGATAAAATGAGCACAGCTACTAGCCACCAATCTAAATTCATTTAGAACACATTAAAGAAAAAGTTAGTAAAACAATATTCCCAAACTGATACATTGTAATATTAAGTTGAACTATCATAAAAATTAAACTAAATTAATTTATCATATTTGGAAAAATGATTTAGTTTATATTTTACCTATAAAACAAGTAAACATGGTTTTTGTGTTAAAGAGGAGCCATTTGACACGGTTTTAATTCTTTGTCCGCCAAGAAGGAGAATTGGAAACACCAAATGGTGGAGTAACTGTTCAGCTGAGTAAGCCCATTACCCGTTGCACCTGACTTTCAAGGTAATTGCCCGTTTCAACCATGGGCAAGAATACCACATCGGACAGTTAACTCACTCCTGGCAGTAATTCATTCTCCAAAGGTTTGTCTAATTAGAAGCTAATTGTTGTGCGGCCGCATAGTTTCACAATGCTCGCTCCGTTGGTATGGGACAACGTAATGAGTCATTCTATTCCGTTTTGATACCAGTGGAAAAGGAGATTTTCGGAACGGCACTAAATTTTGTATTTATAACATACGTAATATACAAATTGGAGAGTTTGGAAAAGGGCGCCAGCCTAAAAGAGGGCGCCACAAAAGAGGGAGATTTTTGCTCGGAAAAAACCTCTCGGGAATAAAAGAAAGAATTTTTTCTCTCTCTTCGCCTTGGTGGTCGACCACGTGAACACGGGTTATTAATTTTAGGTCTCTCCTAAATTTAAAAAATTAACTGTTTATATCTCAGCTGAGTGCAAATTGTAAGTAAACTCTTGTGTATAATTTTTATTATTTGTTTATCAATGTATATATGCTTTTCTCTTATTTCTTGTCAATTAGAAGGATTAACTTTTATTTAAAATTTATTTTGTTTTTTCTTATTATAAACCCTTTTTTTTAGGAGATCCACTGACTTACCATACAATTAATACTAATAATAAAAAAATGTAGATTAAGAAAAAAGTAGTTAAAATTAAATTTGTCCCATTTCAAAAATCAGGACGAATAAGGAGACTCAAACGTTTTTACAAAATATGGCATTACCGCTTTTTAAATTTATGCAAATATGTTTATTTGGGGTTCCCTCTCTTGCCTCTCGGAAAATTTAATCAAGCAGCTACGTATTTTGTAAATAAAAGTTACCCGGAAGGGCCCAAAATTATTCAGTTCTTTGTTCAATTTTTTGAAAGGATCAGTTTTATTGTTTAGGTCTGAGGTATGGACTCAAACTGTGGCAATTAAATCGAAAGAGTATCTATTAAGGCCAATGCCAAATTCTATTATTCAGATCATATCTATCACAATAAATAATAATTAAACAATATTAAAATAACAAGCTTTTTTCTTTAATTTATTCGAAATGTTATTATACTTAATAATAATAGTTAATCTTTATTTTGTTTCGAACTTTTAAGCTTTCTCAAATTTATTGGAATTTATAATGAGATTTAAGCCTTTTCCCCAAATTGTTATACCATTGAACGTCTGTCTGCTAATGTTTGAATGAGAGTTGTGCGTGCAAGATTTCTTCCTCTTTTTAAGGTATTTTTGAGACTGCCGGAGCGGAAAAATGAAATAGAAGAAAATACAAATTGTGGGGAAATAAGCTGCAATTCACAAAATCGCAATTTAAATAAATAATTAAATAAGAAAGATAGCTCCCTAAGAAAACGTTTTATTGTGTTCTTGTTTCTTATTATTGTTATATAGCATTAGTTTATCTATCATATTTGAATGGAAGAAAAAAAGGATAACGATGTGCCTATTCTCATGCTGAGACTGTTGCTAGTCTGACTCCATTATTATTATTATTGGCCAAATAAGCCTATGGGAAATGTTTAAATTATGGAACAAAAATTCGCAATTCTAATTAAAAAACAGGAATCAATTTTATATGTAATTTAAAGTGGTATTTTTGCATACATTTGATCTTCCAAATTAAGAATTTTAAAAGGATAAATTAAAGGTTAGGATGGCAATAGGATAGATTAGTTTATGAGTGAATGTTTGGTGTCAGAGCTTTTTTAGCACTCAGAAGGGATATAGCTAACCTAAGATAGAAGTCAGTGTCACGAGTGGGATTCGAACCCACCACATGAGCTAACGTGGCTTCAATCCCCTCTCGAACTACAACCGTTCGAATTTTCCCCTTTTTTTTGCCATTTTTTATCTCAACCAAGACCTTACATAAAAATAATAATTAATTGAAAGAAGTAACTTGGTCAATTGACCACTAAAACGTAAATATACTAAGATAGACGGTTTGGATGTTAGAACGTGAAATGACCTTAGCCGTTAAAACGCCCTTAAAAATTAATAATAATAATTAATCGGTATTTGCAAGAGTGTACATTACATATACAACAAAAAATAATATTTTGGTACATCCCTGCCTGCTGTCAAAAAGCACAGTTTGTACTAGGCAGCAGGAGTTTTTTGAGATCATCAGAGAAATAAACAGAATATATCTTTACAAAAGTATAATGAAAAACAAAAAAATAAACAAATGTGTGGTGATTAGTGACCGTTAGTCGATGATGATTCAGAAATCGTGAGGTCCGGTGTGATGTAGGTTTCAGAAAAACATTTTCTTTATCGTGCCAACGTTTCGATCTTTATTGGATCATCTGCAGGGCCTGGGATTTACAAACATTATTTAAATTTAACAAATACATGTAGGATGTGAAAAAAAGTGAATTTATACAATGCCAAAATTTTTTTTATATTCAAGCAAAGTATTTGATTTACACAGAAAGATTTGGTATAGATCCATTACTTTAAATTGACTGTATAACTTTTTCGTATTATATCTACACGGTTTACATAAAATTATTTTAAGAAGTGAGTTTATAGTTACATCCAGAGCATTGTAGCATTTATTAGTACCTCCTCAGGAAGTATACCATAGGCTATGATGGATTGAGCAAGAGAAAAATATATTCCCCTTAAGAGTTCAATTTTCACAAAGTTGTGTAAAATTCTAAATTTATACAAGAGACATGATTCGGCCTAATGTATAGTGTTCGTCAAGTTTCAAAGTGATGTTGGTAGTGGGCTTGTTGTGAAAAAGGATGTGAAATAGGAGAAATATCATCTGTTCCCGGGTGCTTTCGACGTATGAATAAACGACTTACCTTAAGAGACGCTTCCATTCCCTCGGCCAATAAATAGCACGTTGATGTTGAATTCCATTTGTAGACGGGTTCCCTGGCCAGAACGTAGTGGCTATCAATCTCCTTCCCTTCGACAGAAACCAGCTCCGTCTGCGAAAAAGAACAGACTTGTAAGAAAATTTGCTATCACCCTCAGGCTTTCCGGAGGAAATCGGTGTTGCGTGAATGAAAAGCCTCGGCGTTTTTACGTCCGACGGAAAAGTTGAACCGAAATTCTACCTAAGTGAAATAATTTATCTAACAAAGAGTGTTAGATAAATTATTTCATTTAGGTAGAATTTCGGTTCAACTGTGAAACAGACTAGCAATTAATCTAATTGAATAATACACTATTTCATTATACCTTTTTAAATTCTATCTTAAAAAAGAGGTTTTTAGTTATTCGAATTTATAAAATATTGGGCAGTAGGCAATGGCTGAACCAACCAGACATAATGTACCTTTTTCCGTCAAACAAACCCCTTTTCTCGCCAAAATAACACTTTTTAATCTGAAATTACCCTTTTTCTTGCGTCAAATTAATTATTTTTAACTTAAAAATTTGATTTGATAATTAGCCGTTTTTTACTTCAAATAAAACTGATTTAATATAAAAATAGCCCTTTTTAACCATGTCCTTAATGCATTTATAAAAACCTAAAAGATGAATAAATATAAAAATTAATTACAATTAAAATTAAAAATAATATAAAAAGAAATGATTTTTACATTTTTATATTTTTTTAAAATATAAAATAATTAAGCTCGCTCTTAAAAGTAAAAAATCTCAATCATCTAAAAGAAGAATTTTTTAGTTTTATATTTAATTTTACATTACATTTGCACAATTTTTATATTTTTTATAATATTTTAGAATATAGATTTTTCCGTCAAACAAACTCCTTTCCTCGCCAAAATAACACTTTTTAATCTGAAATTACCCTTTTCTTGCGTCAAATTAATTATTTTTAACTTAGAAATTTGATTTGATAATTAGCCGTTTTTTACTTCAAATAAAACCGTTTTAATATAAAAGTAGCTCTTTTTAACCATGTCTTTAAAAAATCTATAAAAACCTAAAAGATGAATAAATATGAAAATTAATTACAATTAAAAATAATATAAAAAGAAATGTTTCATACATTTTTACATTTTTTTAAAATATAAAATAATTAAGCTTGCTCTTAAAAGTAAAAAAAATCTCAACCATCTGAAATATCATTCATCTGAAAGAAGAATTTTCTGTTTTTATATTTAATGTTACCTTACATTTACACAATGTTCATATGGTTTTCTAAAGGACCTATTATTTATAATAATTTTTTTTTCTCAAACTGGTTTATATTTCATACAATCCCCTAAGTTGTTTTAATACTTTAAATTAAGGGTTAATTTAAAATTAAAAAAGCTAGATACGTTAATAAATGTATAAAGATGTTAAGAAGGGTTATTTTGAAATTAAAAAGTTTAGTTCGGTGCAAAAAGGGTTAATTTGTCGGTAAAAAGCCTTAACATTACCTTACTCGTAATTAGAACAAGACTTTCCCTAATTTTTTAATTTATTTATAAAACTTGTAAAAAGCACTTTTCAAATTAAATTAAACTTGATTAAAAAGTTTTTTTATGTCATCACTTAAAGACGTAAGTACTGCGATTAAGTAGCCATGTACTTCAAAACAAGGGAACTGAATTGCATTTTTTGTACAATAAATAACAATTTAAATACTTAGAATTTTCGCAATAGAAAATAGAACGAACAGAAGTGTCCTAAACTGTGTTGATTGGGCACAGGTAATAATGGCAAGATTGTACAAGAATGAACACAGATCAGTTATTAAGCATCTTAGTTTTTATAGTGGGTCTGCTAAATAATTAAAATCGTCTTTAAATAACTTTGTATTGATCCACTTATTTTTGGTCTGTAAGACGTGTTTTGGTTTTCGCCATCATCACTATTGGATTGGTGTAATTTTTTGTTGTCTCAGGTTTTCATCTGTTCTTCGTGAAACTTGAAAGAACTGTTTCGGTATTGTCTTTGTGTGACAGAGTCGTTGACATTAGTTGTTTTTAGTCAAGGGTAATTAATTTGTTCGCTATTGAATTATTTAGTTTTAAATATGTTTCGTTTGTATATTTATCGGTTTTTAATGTACATTTTTCGGCTTTTTTTGTACGTCACATAGTATTAGTGTGAGTTCGTTGTGGCTTTGTAGTACAAACAGGAGGGCTTAAAGTACAACTACCCGTCGAGTGCCGCGGACGACGGGTCAAACCACTTTACAATCCATTTTTCATACTATAATCATTTAAAACATCATGGGCTCTCCTACAGGAATTCGAACCCGGAAGCGCTAGCGTGGCAACAACCAGTTGGACGCCCTAACCACTTGGGGGTGATTTTGTTGTTTTAAATGAGATGAGATGTTTTCCGTCCCTAATTGGTCTTCTACATTCTTTACAACTGTCTTTTATTTTTCCTCTCTCTTCGATACATTTTCCTCTGTTTACGCTCTAAAAGCAGAAACTTGTCTATCAGACCAAAACAGGGATAAGAAGCAGACCAAAAATAATTAAAAACGACCAGGAGGCCCCATCGAACCTTTCTGGAAGCAATCTCATAATTACAAACCAAATAATCAATAAGATAAAAATATATTGTATTCTCGTTGCTTAAAGATAGTAGAAGTAATAGGTTTATTGATCGTAATAACATAACAATATTATACTTTAAGTAACTGTCAATTATATCATAAAAAGCTCGGCGACTTACTTCCTCGTTAAAAAGAAGCTAATGAGACTGATGAATGCTATAAAAGTAATTAATTACATCTTTCCCCACCAGTGGAACGATCTTAAAAAGCCATTATATTTAAGGTGATTACATTCAGGTGCCTCCTGACCACAGCGCCCTAAACCCTATTAAACGTTCTGTCGACACCTAACGATCATTTAGTAGAAAATGCTTGTTATAATAAAGCCGTTCAATAAATGCGCGTTCACCCCAATTTCTTGGCCGTTGAACGAAACCCCACTTGTCAGTGTGCTAATTAAATATTTAAACAAGCTGTTAAGAATGACTTGGTTTCAAATTGTCAATGTACAATGCAAGAAAATGGGCTTCCTAAGCTTTGGCATATTTTTTTAATTTAAGAGAAAATAGGTAAGCGAAAAATACGGATTCAGTCAATTAATCAGTGTCGATCAATCCGCCAGCTGGGCGGTGTCATTCGGTTGTATACGAACGCCATAAATGCGGAAATGACACTATTTCTAAATATTCTAGAATATACACTGATATTCTAAATTAACCTACACGCAAGGTTTGACATCACAAACTGAGGCACACATGTTTAGAACAATTCCGGCTGTTATTGTGCGTCAGTGTTATAGAATATGCGAACTAGTTCCAAATGATGATGCAAGCTAGCAAAAACTATTAACTAGCACAGGTGACAAGTAATTTATTACTATATCTTGATTAGTTCGTGTGCGACTGATTTCACTTCTTGCATCTTGTATTTTGAAATTTTTGAAATCAGTAAAGTCTTTGGCCGTCGAATAATTGAAGAATGTTTTGACTGGGTTAATTCCAGAAGCTGTCCTGTGACAAATAAAAAAAACAATTCATATATACAAATTAGTATTTCAGTTGTAGGTAGCTGTTAGTTCAGTTATATTTTCTACCTACTATTTGCATCATATTTATAGTTTTGTACGAACAGGAACAAATATAATTCTTCATTTTCTCTACGGGCCACGGTTTATCTGATCTTTTATGTACGTTTTAGGTCATTAATTATTCGTGTACAAGCAAGTGTTTCCGGATCGTAAAGAACACGCATGCAAACAAACAAATACAAGCACAATAACTTTAGTAAGTTGACAAACCCTCGTTATCATTTTTACGGCGATGACGCTAAACCATAATGATGGACAAGTCTTGCAAAACTATCTAACCTAGCGCCTTGAAATGTCTGAAAGTGGCATAACAATCGTTTTCTTTCAATCAAACAAACAAATTTTCTGTCTAATGATTTAATAATCTGTAAAATGCAAAAAATGTTTACTTTTTTAACCCACATACCATGTCTTTATACTGTAAAATATTTTTTAATTATAGCATATTTCTAAAATCAACTATTGAATTATTAATTAAATAAAAACAAAACAGATGTAAAATCACTTAAATTTACTTTGCCAGAAAATATTATTGAATTCTTCTGAATTAAAATTCTACTGAAAATCGTATTATTTTGTTACAGTTATTTTAGAAGTTTTACGTTTTGGTAGTGGATCACAAACTTCGCCTGGCAAACGACATTATTGGTAACGCTCACGTTAGAGATCCGACTGGAACAAGAATTGCAATTTGGGAACCACTCAATGAGGCTGAGTAAAATTATAAAATTTGAACAAACTAATTATTCCATTTTTATCTTTTTTCTTAGAAATATTGATTAGGTACTTTTCTTATTACGAGCATGTTTGATTCGTTTGGTTTTACAAATCTCCAAGCAATCAACTATATAAAATTGAAGTTTGGAGGAACGTTTCATAATTATTGAGGTATTTTAGCCCTTTAAATATGCCTATGTTTTACACAGTTGTTACAAAGAAATAAACAAATGCAAGTACAATAACTTTCGTAAATTGTCAAAAAGTCGAGTTATCACTTTCACGGCGTTGACGCTAAACCATGATGACTGACAAGTCTTGCAAAACTATAGAACCTAGCGCTTTGAAATGTATGAAAGTGGCATGGCAATCGATTTCTTCCAATAAAAAAAGTTTCTGTCTAATGATTTAATAATCTGTAAAATGCAAAAAATGTTTAGTTCTTTAACCCGACATACCACGTCTTTATATTATATAAAATTATAACATATTTCTAAAATCAACTATTGTTCTTACAAAGAAATAGAAAATAAATATTAATTTAGTAATACACACTCTAAGGCCTTCGACTTGATCTTCCACTGTATTGATATTCCCCAAACACCAGGAATATAAGATTAACTGTGCTATGGTCGTATAGTTTCATCATATTTTAAACTATTTCTTATAAAATGTTAAAGTCCAATTGACGAGGAAATATTTGCAAAGTTTATATA